ATATAACAGCATGTATCTGCCAATACAATATCATACAAAATAGTTTCACTGCCCTAAAATTGCCCTGTGATTTATATATTTATCCTTCTCTCCCTTCCTCCCCTTGAGCCCCTGGCAACTACTGATCTTTTACTATCTCCATAGTTTTACTTTTTCCAGAATGTCATATAGTAGCCTTTCAGATTCGCTCTTTCACTTAGCAAAGTGCATTTAAGTCTCCTTTTTGTCTTTTTGTGGTTTGATATCTCCCTTCTTTTTAGCCCGAAGTAATACTCCATTTTATGATTGTCCCACACTTTATTTATCCATACACCTATTGAAGGACATCTTGGGTGCTTCCAAAGTTTGGCAGTTATGTATAAAGCTGCTGTTAACATTTGTGCGCAGGGTTTTGTGTGGATATGTTTTTAACTCATTTGGATTTCTCACCATTAAGTATGATGTTAACTGTAGGTTTTTGTAGATGTTCTTTATGAAGTTGAAGAAGTTCCCCTCTATTCCTAGTTTGCTGAGAGTTTTTATCATGAAAAGGTGTTGGGTTTTGTCAGATGCTTTTTCTGCAGCTATTGATGTGATCATGTGATTTTTTCTTTAGCGTATTTATATGATGGATTATATTAATTAATTTTTGAATATTGAACCAAAGGGATTACATTGAATCTCTAGATCAATATTAAGAGTTCTGATCAATAAACATGAGATGTGTTTCCATTTCTTTAGGTCTTCTTTAATTTCTCTCAACAGTGCTGTGTTGGTTTCAAGGTACAAGTCATGCTCTTCTGCATTAAATTTATTCCTAATCTGCGGTGTCTATTCCTAAGTATTTTTTTCTTTTTGATGGCTTTATAAATGGAATTTTGTTAATTTCATTTTCAGATCATTCATTGCTAATACACAAAAATATATTTGATTTTTGTACAATCATTTTGTTTCCTGCAACCTTTTTGAACTTATCACTACTGAAATTTTTTATTGTGTTTATAACTTCCTTAACATATATACCAGATGTGTGTCATCTGCAAATAGAGAGTTTTATTTCTCATCCAAGCTGGATGTTATCTTTTTTTTTTTTCTTTTTAGTAGTGGTTTAAGAACTTGACTATGATATGAGAAATATAAAATTATGTGCTTTGGAGTTTCTAAAGAAATCATTTTATTATGTAGGTTTTTGATAAGGACAAAAGACAATAATTATGAAATTTATTTCCTCATGGTTGACCTAGTTATTCAGTCAGTGAGATTCTTAGCCACTCATGTAGGCTCTTTGGGAAAATGCCTATTCACATCTTTTGCCAGTTTTTATATTGGTTTATTTGTCTCTCTCTATATATAGTCTGGATATAAGTTCTTTATTGGATATATGATCTGTGCATATTTTCACCCAATCTCTGGCCTGTCTTTTCACTTTCTTAATGGTGTCCCTCCCCTCATGGAATAANCTGAAAGAAAGGATGGCTTTCCAGAGTCTATAGTTAAAGTAAATTGCAGATAAGGAACATAATTTCAGAGTTTGGCTAGTAGTAGAATCTTATTTACTGTACATACAGTTGTTTTGGGAACAGCCAAATGAGAGGTTATCAGAAATTCTCCAGAGTTTAACACCATAGGGTAACAACAGCTGCTGTTCTCACCAAAATCTCAGTTGGCTTTCTGTTCTAAGTAGAATTCCAAGCATGTCAATAAATTTTAAGGATTTATTTCTTCTATTTACTGTTAGACTTTATTATTATTATTGTATTTTTTATAATTAGCATTATTTGCTTGTTTTAAAATTAATAGACTTTATTTTGGGGAGAAATTTAGGTTACAGAAAAATTAAGCAGAAAATACAGAGAGTTTTGATGTAACCCCCACCACCAGTTTATCCTATTATTAATATCTTATGTTAGTGTGGTATATTTGTTGTAATTGATGAGCCAGTATTGATATGTTATAATTAACTAAAGTCCATAGTTTACATTAGGTTCACTCTTTGTGTTGTATATTCTATGGACTTTGAC